TCAAAAGAAGCGGACGTTAGAGTCTCAGCCAATGAGATTCAAGTGATATCGGATCATAGATTCATACCTGGGCTTTGCACGGGTCATGATTGCATATAAGATCAGCCTATCAACTACTCCGGAAAATAACTCCGGTGCCGATAAAATAGGGTTATGGATAGGATATAAAGCCAAGAATCTCGTAAAATATGGTCACATTACGTATTATATAGCATATATGGGGAATTGGGTTTAAATTTCCACCTCGCGCTATCAAGTCCGGTAATCTATATCCTCCCATGAGCATCAAAATTTGCACTGGTTTTTTAGTATATTAATTTGACTTTTGATATCAAATATCAAATATTTAGTTCATAGAGACCTCTCTTACCATCTTTTAATTACTTATTTGCGGACATGCCAGCTTGGTGGCCCACATCCGCCACCTCGCGATCCTTTTTCCTTTTTTTTTCCCTTATTTTTCCCCCATTTCGTACCTGTTATTTTCTTATTTTTCTTATTTTTCTGTTTTTCTATTTTCTGTTTTCTTTTTTTTCCCCTATTATATCTCCTTCTCCCCCCCCCCACACTTTGCCCTCCTTTCCTTCCTAATCTAGGCACACAGTGCAGAATTCACTGCATAGGTCTGGCGCAGCCCCAGGGCCCCTCTCTTTCTCCATTATATAATTCTTATGATCTGTCCGTCCATGTGATTTGCGTGATTATCATGCTTTCAAATGGTGGTTCGGTAGACAGACAGTTGGGTTTCTGATTTGCTATTCATCACTTTTTGCGCTTGATGAGTGAACAGACACTCAGAGGCTATAGGCCTCTTGCACCTCGCACCAGGCTGCTCGGTGGAAGTGGAGGGGAAGGCGGAGAGGGAACAGGAAGTCCCGCCGGTGGGGGTGCACCAGAAGAGAAACGGATGAGGCGAGCATCGACGGCTTGTACAGAGTGTCAAAAACGCCGGACTAGGGTACACATTCACTTGCGCTTCCTATTGAATCCAATAAATCTGACATGATTTTTTTTTCGTTTATCTTACTAGTGTACCGGCCCACCTCATTGCGCCGAATGCTCAACCCACGCCCGCGAATGTATCTTCGATGAAGCCGCCGATAGGCGCCGAAAGGCCTCCGCCAAGCGAATCCAGGACCAATTGGACCATTTCCGGTCATTTGTGGACGACCTCATCGGGCTCATCCGAGACGGTGACGGTCCGACGGTGCAATTAATCGTCAATACCATACGATCGGGAGCAACCCCTGCAGCGATTCGAGATGCTCTCACCCGTCTCTTGGAAGACGATCAACAATCCGGTTCCCATATTTCAGGCGAGCACAACTCGCACCTGAACCTAAACATTACTCCAAACAATAACATGGGCAATTACTTCAACCCCCCTCGTTGAGTTAAACCCAACCCCTCGGCCAATATACGCATCCCTGGACGACGATGTGCTAGCGTTATCTCGTTCTCCCCCGAATCTGCCCGCCAAATCTTGTCGATTCCAAAACCTCAAACGACCAAACGAACCTGGTTGTTTCATGGCGTTGCCTTTCATAGCTGTTATTCGCGTTCTCTTGAGATGGAGCGGGCCATTCAGCCATCACATTATTCATTAGCTGTGCGACCAGCTCCATCTTTATGTTTATTGCCATATCTCGAGACAGATTGAGATCTTGCAAAGAAACCATAATGTTCCTATTCTCTTACCCGAACCCTAGTTATATCTTCTTGTTGCATATTCTTCGCCATCCCAGAAGGGGCTGATGTTAGCTCGCAAAGTTGCGGAGAGTCTTGATGTACCTTGACTGAAGTGAATATACCCAGAGATACCCAGTTTTAGCTTGTCACCAAAGTTGGGTTGGAGTTATAGCGCCGGGGTGTTTGTTGATTCGGAGCAAATGGGATTTCTTTTTTTTATATTGGACTTTCGCATCACACAATTGACTTTACATGTTTTCATCAAATTCTCCATCTTTCCGAGTAGATTATATATCCAATGTCCAGAGCCTGGACTTTATATAGTCGAGATATTCCGGATACGGAAGGCGGTATCTATGTAAAGAAACCATTCTCCTCATAGTTACTACCTATGTACCTTTATCAACATTCCTTTTTTTTTTAACGGACTCAATTTCATTTCCAACTTCCTCAGTGAAATTCCCTTCACCCAACCCCCAATCATGGAGATGATCTTAAGAACCGTAGCTTGCGTAGTCCATATACCGAGAATCCGGGGAGGTGGAGGTATCCCCGCGACCGGAGACTTGCCAAGATCCTATGCTTTTCCAATTCCCCCTCTTCCCCCGGATACTTCTCCTTTTTAGCTACTTCTGTCTCCTTTCGACATTCGGGAATTAATTCCCTGGCTCGGCCTGTCTTGCCGATCTTAGTATGACAACCACTAGCGTTGCCATGCAATCTCCTCGGCCCGCGATCAAGCTAAATGAAACCTCAGCAGAATTGCCGTCTAATAAGAGGAAAGCATCCGACACATTAAAAGATGGTGTGGCACACCGCCAGAAAATCACCAGAGCCTGTGACTTGTGCAAAGTAAAGAAAACAAGGTGTACTGGTACTTTACCATGCACAAGATGCACACGACTGTCACTGCCGTGCAAATACAACGCCGCATACTCTCGGGGGCTACCACCAGACCCTCTTCCTGCATCACCGAGTCCATTGACCCCAACTGTGCGTCGTGCATTTGAGGATGTGGATGGGCACACGTCCACTAGCCCCAACCTACAGGAAAATGGTCGGGACTCGACTGTGACCGACAATCTAGTACTTCCAAAACAAAACCAGCACCAGCATGTGATATCATCGCGGAACTCACCAGAGCCAGGCTCAACGGATTTCGAGGGCAATTACCTCGGCCCTTCATCCGGTGTGTCGTTTCTCAATCGCGTATGGAGCCGTCTGCATCAAGATGAAACGACGCACTATCCGAATGAACTCCAAAATGAATCCTCGCAGAATACAGCTGTCTTCATGTTTGGCGATAAGCCCTACTCCAATCCCCAGGAGGTGGAATTTACCCTCCCATCTCTGGAAAAGGCATTGGAGCTGGTAGGGATTTACTTTGATTACACTATGGTGACTTATCGCTTTGTGCACAGAGGCAATGTGGAAGAGTGGACTAGACAGGTTTACAAAAATAACATCGGCCTCTCCAATCTCCCTGTGGGAAATATGGTTGCTCGGACTGCTATCGTTCTGATGATCATTGCTGTGACTACTTTGTTCGTTGAAATGAAGCCCGGGGCAACGCCTGGTGGGCGGGGTGAAAGGCTAGAGAGGTTAGTAATCTCTTGATGTGATCAAAAAAATTAGCTTTGCTGAGATATTGCAGTGAGCGCTGGTATGCAGCGTCAAAATACATGTCTTCCCTCGAGTCAGGACCGCCGCGACTAGAAACCATCCAGGCCCGGCTGGGCCAATGCCTATATCTGCTGTCATCATCACGGGCCAACGAATGCTGGTACTCATTCGGCACGACAGTGCAGATTGTGACTGCACTCGGTTTACACAGGAAATGGCCAGCCAAAGTCTCGAATAACGGGTGCTCGTCTCTAGAATTGGAGCTCCGCAAGCGCATCTTCTGGAGTGTATACACTCTAGACAAATATCTAAGCATTATGTTCGGAAGACCTCGACTACTCCACGATGAAGACATCGACCAAGAACTACCGAACGAGACGAACGACGAAGATTTACTGGAAGAAGATCTGACGCGAAGAACAGGATCTACAGACAGCATGATGATTGCCTCTGTTCTTCATTACCGGTAAGTCCCACACATACCTACCGTGTGGTTATATCATACAGCACCTAGGCACCTAACACCAAACTCAGACTCGGCCGTATTCTGGGCGATATATCTCGCCAGTTATACAGCATAAATACCCTCTCTCGAGACTCCCCTCTTGAGACCGCAATCCGCCTCACCTCAGAACTCGAAAAATGGAAAGAAACCGTCCCACCTTTATTCAACAGTGTTCACCCAACCAGTTTAATCCCACCCCTCTGCCGTCAAAGCCAAGTCCTCCAACTCGCCTACTCGCACGCCATGATCCACGTCACTCGCTCGTTCCTCTTGAACGATTTTACAGACCTCAGTCGCAGACCGACAATCCCGCACCCGATGGTCAACTCGCACGTCCAGAAATGCATTCGGGCTGCCGAGGACATCATGACAATGACCGATGGTCTCGCGCATCAAGGTGTGCTGATCCAGTCCTTCTGGTTCACACACTACGTGTGCTTCTGTGCTGTTTTGGTCGTTTACATCCATACTATCCAACAGCACCGAAAGTCATTGGGTCGATCTAGCTCAGCCTCTGTCTCTTCGGTCGGAAGTCCCGATGACTCGGATAAATTGCGCCAGCTCTTTTCTCTCGCTGAAACTTGTCAGCAACACCTTGCTGAAGCCACGCGCAAGAACTGTCCAAGTCGTCGCTACGGGATTATTCTGGAGGAGCTGAGAAGGGAGGTTCATCGACAGATTGGATCCAATGGGCCCGCTGTTGAATCTCGGGCTCATTCTTCTGGTAAAAATGATACTTTCTATGTCTCTGGAGAGGGTTCACAGAATGCGGACATGAAATCGATCCTCTTTGACACCCAGGCGGTTGATTTCATGATGCAACCATCCGATTTGGGGGTGACTACGGGAGATGATGCAGGCTTCCTTGAAAGCCTCGAGGGATCGATCTGGTGGGCTCAGCTTGACTCATGGGTATGTATTATGCTTTCCTTGGCGAGTACGAGTACGGAATCTCGATTGCCTATGCACACTTTTTGTTAACATTTCTTTTCTAGGCCTTGTCCAATCTCCCTAATGACCCATCTGCATTCAGCTTTTAAACACAGGATGGATGTAGCTCACGAGTCACAAAGCCAAAATCGCGTTCAATTGCAAATATACTGCTACGGCTCATGTCACATTCTGGTTATTCTTCCCTCAACATGCTATCCGGTCACAATTTCTGATTCAGTGGCGTTCAAAACTACATGATACCACCACGGTGAATGTTATCCAAGTAGTCATCGAACTTCGCAGACACCTCAATCACATCCTTGAGGTGATCATATGTGAGAACCTCCCTTTTCCACTTCGCGTATTGACGAGCCGTGGTGATGGCATTCCGAATTTGCCGACCATTCAACTTCTCCCTCTGAAGCACATCCAAGCTCCCCATAAGATTCTTAACATCAATACCATCTTCATCAAACTCACCCAGCCGCTTAATGAAAGTATTCCAAATAATTCGTCTCTGCTCCTCGCCAAGTGGAGGATAGTGCAGTGCCAGCTGAATGCGCGATTTGAACGCCTCATCGAAGGTGCCTACCCGGTTGGTAGTCAAAATCAGGATTCCCTCGAAATACTCCACCACGCGCAGGAATGCCGATACGAGCGCGTTCCGGTTCAGATCTTCTAGACCGCGCTGCTCAAGGAAAACATCTGCTTCATCGAGCAGGACTACGCAGTTCCAGATCTTGCCGAGGTGCAGCACGGACTCGAGGTACTTCTCCACCTCCTCTGGCTTGGTGCCGACGTCGCCACATGTGACTCGGTAAAGAGGCCTCTCGGCTATTTCAGCCACACTTTCTGCAGTCAGGGTTTTGCCTGTTCCTGGTCCACCGTGCAGAAGCAAGATAAGACCGTTGCCTTTGCCGGCGATCAGGTCGGCGGAGTATTCAGGCTCAACGTAGTTGGTCACCAGTGCTTCGATAAGACCTCTAGATTTGGAGTCGATGGCTAGACTCTCGAAGGCGTCTTTGTTCCACTCAACATGGGAGATGCGGTCGACTGAGAGATCGAACCATTTCTTGCGCCGGAGGTTGAAGCCAGTCACCCTCGGAGGCATCAGCATGCTGAATGGCTCTGGTGGGGGTTGATCTCTGGCCATGGTTCGCTCGTCGAGTGTGTGTTTGCGTGGGCCGTCATACAAATACCCGGTCATGTCTGGATGCAGTCTTTTGTATGTCTTCATGTCTATGATGTATCGGTCGTCGGCCTAGTAGCAACGGTTAGTTCCACTCATCATGGAAGGTTGACAATAAACACATACCATGGTTTGGAAATTCTCTTCCTCGGTCGCCTGATAGGACACATACTTCTGTGTGCGGAATGTCCAGAAAATCTCCCCACGGCGCTGAAGCTTCTGGATGAGATAATCGGGAGCATACTTGATTGGGAATACCGCAAGGTCTGTGATATCACACTCTTGGTCAGGGTCACTTTTGGGTAGAGGAAGGCTATAATCATGCGACAAATAACCCACTTCCGGCGACGACGGCATCTCCATGGCACACTGTGGCTTCGGCATCTCAAAACTGAGTCTAGTTCGGTATTTGTAAAAGTCGCCATCAAAGTTCCAAGTCTGGGCATTGATCAACCAACAAGCATTGCTGGTGCTATCAATTTCTGGGTATCGAGATGGCCAGTCCCTGGCTACATAACCTATATGCTCCTTGTTTTTCTGCGAAACCAGGATTTGGTTGGGCTTGAACAGATACTGAACGTATTCGGGACGAATTTTGCCTTGCTCAAAAAGCAGGTCTGCTGCAGTGTACTCTTTGCCGTAAGCCTCTTGGACATAGTCCATGAAGAGGTCGAATTGTCTATGTGCCTCAGAGCTCAGTCCTCGTTTGATTTCTGATTCTCCAGCACCCCGGTTATGGTAGACGAAGAGATAAGGCGACTGAACCTCTCCCTTGTCCCGGTAGTGGTTTTGCATGGATTTAAACTCCTTGCCCCCGAGGAAATCTGCGATGACGCCTTTGAGATCCTCGGACACTGGAAAAATGGTCTCACTGAATGGCTCTGGCTTGTCATACTTTGTGTTCGATGACTGCCGCTCAGCCCTTCTTTTGTAGTTCCGGAAAACCACAAAAGATATGTCTCTGTTGAGAGCGAGGTACAGCTCGAAGTTGATCAGCGGATCATTGCAGCGCAGATATGGCGCACCCATGTTTCGCTGGATGAGCTCGGGGGGTCGGTATAAATCCCCATCCATGGAGACCTGGACCGAGACCTCGACCTAGACCTGCGTTGTCTATGCCTAGGGCTGAATTCATCGCCACTACCATCCATGCTGTGATTCTCACTCGGATATGTGCCGTCTTTCTCAATTCGATAAAGAATCTGATACTTGGAGGCTATTGGGAGGGCAGGTTTTCCTTCCAGCTCCCGGACCTTGTCTCGAAGAGCTGCGATTTGGGCTTTGAGGTCATTGGCCTCTGACAAAGAGACACTTCCTTGGCTAGGAGGTGTGTATGTGTCTGAATGAACGGTGTTTGAATACTGCGGATCCATCTCGTATGATTCCACAGACTGTGGACTCGGAATTCGGGGCCTTACAGAATCGTAAGGGGGAGTATACACCGGGACTTGGGTATATTGGTAAGGGACAGGACCTGGCGGGAAAGGGCCTGGCATGCTTTGGCTGTTGGCTACCGGTGACCCGAAAGAAGGGACAGGGATATCAGGTTCGGGTGCTACATGATATCTCGTCTTGTTTCGTCGAGCGGCGTTCTCCCGTTCTTGTAGCATCGGTCGGAATGAATAGTCCATGTTATCTTGACTTCCTTGCCTCGTTCTGGGGCTTGAAATGTAAGATGTACCACCTATAGGGGGAAGAGAGGGGGAGGAGCTCTGCCTTCGGATGAAGCAGGAATCGGTTGCTCTTGTGAAGCAGCTTTGCTCAGGTCTTCGGAGATGGTGTTGGTCATGTATAGCTTATCGCGAAGGCGAGCTGAACTTGAATGAGAATACATTCCCACATACAGAAAGGATCAAGATAAATCAAATAGACTGTTCTACTGTCCAGAATGGGCAGGAAACACACAATAAATAGGGGACACGAGGGGATTCCGATACCAACCACCCCCGCGTCTTGAGCCTCTGGATTGTCATGTGGCGTGGCTGTGTGCATCATCTTAGGCTGGCTATATTTTCATGCATGGGTACCTATCTCATGCACGTTGTCTCTCCGCGTTTATCGAGTCCATCAGGTTATCTAGAAAGCCGGGTGGTGCTTGCCCTCTTGCGTAGTTGCCCGGACATGAGTATTTCACCGCATTGGAGTTTTATGCTTTATGCTTCATGCTTCATGCATCTACTCAATATATTCTTAAGGTCTACGGATGTTTGATGTTTCATTCATCATTCATTCTGAGAGGCAAAGATGACAACTTCCAGTAAGAAAGATACAACTCGAAGTCTTTTTAATCTCTGGATCCCAACTAAAGTCGTCGTCTCTGGAAAACCAAACACATCTCCAACTGATTATGGGACAACAGAAAGCCCGGCATCAGAGCCAATTATCCCAGGGACGGGAAAAGATCGGCTTAGGGTTCGCTTGACTCGCAGTGGCTCCAAGATTTTACTGTTGCTGGGCTTGCGTGGTTCATCCAAGAGTGAGTGGTATATCTCTTTCTATATGCCATTTACTGATTCTCTGCCGCAGGTAACAAAGGGTTTAGTGTCGACACGGATTGTTGTGATTCTGTACAGGCTGGCGATGAAAGCCCAAGTCCCTCAAACTCATCCTCCCCAAGTGATAATGGCGATGATGGCCCAGGATATCTCACTGCAGTAGCGTCCCCACAAAGTGAACCACTACCTGCCGCTCCTTCACTCAGTACCCCCACCGAAGGGGTTGAAACATTGTCTGAACCCCTACCCGACCTACGACCATCACCCGAGAGTCAAGGCGAATTGGCTGGTATCAACGACGTGCAGCAACATGCCACAGGTCAGGACCGTATGTCAACTACTGTCACTGAGCAGCCTAGCCCAACAAATCCAAAATTTGTTGATCGCTTTTCGCATAAGATCTCACTAGCGTTTGGCCAGCCCACTGTCATACGCCGTGCGCATCTTCGGTCAAGACTGAGTATCTTGCAGGTCAATTCTCCACTATTAGACAATCTGAGCCAACAGAGTGATTATGCCAATGATACCTCAGACTCATCAACCAGCCCCAGTAGTGGTGCTTCTCCTGCTGGCGGGAAGTCAACTCCACTCACTCCGCTCACGTCCGGAGGGCCGTCTCCTGCCTCGGATAAAGACAAGCAGCAGGATGGAAACGAAACTGCAGTGGAGCATTGGCCCTCTCTCTCTGAGATGAATGAAGTTGCCAGCCATTCAGACATCAATGCAATAACCATATCACCGTCAATCAAGACGGTGGAAGCGACCTCGGTGGCAAAGATTTACTTGGAACTGTATTTCAACTCCATTTTCCAAAGCAGAGACCCCCGACAGAAACGTCAGCTCGAGTTGGAGCAGCATATATATGCGTTTGAGCTCACACCCGAGGAGCGGTTGATGACGAGACACAACTGGGTCTTGCGAGAGAACGATTATCTACGACAGTGCCGTGTGCTCAAATGGAGTCGATACTGCACTCGAGGCGAAGGAGCCATCTCTATCGCGGGGTACAAACATGTGAAGGTCCTGGGGAAAGGAAGCTTTGGTGTTGTGCGCCTTGTTCGAGATGTTGGCTGTGATTCGAAAAGCTCCCATGAAGATGCCCCTCTGACTCTCAAAGACAACAATGTCCACTCCAGATCGAATCCTCTTGGGGCTCTAATGTATGCTATAGAAGGTGCTAAACACAGTCGTCGAAGGTATATGACCGGCAAAAGAAAGGAGGTATATGCCATGAAAGTCATCAAAAAGGCAGAGATGATCCGCAACTCCCAAGAAGGCCATATTCGAGCGGAAAGAGACTTCCTTGTTGCCTCTGAAACATCTCGCTGGGTTGTTCCTCTGATTAACAGCTTTCAGGATGCCAACAATCTGTATCTTGTGATGGATTACATGGTTGGTGGTGACTTTTTAGGGCTACTGATCCACAAAGATACGCTCCACGAGGACTGGGCACGTTTTTACGTCGCCGAAATGATATTGTGCATTGAGGAGGCACATAAACTTTGCTGGATTCATCGCGATGTCAAGCCTGATAACTTTCTCATCTCTGCGTCGGGCCATTTGAAAATTTCTGATTTCGGCCTGGCTTTTAATGGGCATTGGTCGCACGATCAAGCTTATTATAACAGCCATCGCTACTCCCTACTGGAGAAACTCGGCATTGATGTCAAGGGTGATTCCGAAGACCAGAAGGCGGTTACCGAAGCAAAAGAGCTCGCGCCTGAAATAAAATTGCACAGTCTGAATGACTATACTCTTCATGGACCATCCTCGACAAGTTTGCTGGATTGGCGAGACAACAAGGGGCGACGCAGATTCGCAAAAAGTGTTGTTGGAACCAGTCAATACATGGCACCTGAGGTCATTCGTGGTGAAATGTATGACGGACGATGCGACTGGTGGAGCTTGGGTATCATTCTATACGAGGTAGGTCGCTCGACATTCCCATTTTTTGTATTAGATTCTCATGGCGTTTCCAGTGTCTATACGGTTTCACACCCTTCGCCTGTGAAAATCGCCACGATACAAAGATCAAGATCCTTGTGAGTATCTCCTTAGTTCCCTTTGTTCTGAACATTTCATTCTGAAACTTCTGAAGCAACACTCACGAACTCTGCAATTCCCACGAGAGAAATCCACGGACAAGTTAGTCTCTCAGGATGCCATGGACCTGATTGCCGGGATTCTCCAAGAGCGCGAATATCGCCTATGCTCTCCCAAGTATCAAGCCAATGATATACTGAATGGACGTCCTGTCTCAACTCAAATTCTGTACTCCATGGACCCGCGGTACAGAAATATCGCGAGCTACTACGTATACCCTAACGATGCAGCAGACATCAAGATTCATCCGTTCTTCCGAGGTATTCGATGGCAAGATCTCCACATGTGCCAGCCACCAATGATCCCTAGGGTCAAGAGCTGGGAGGACACTCGATATTTTGACGACTGGAAGTTGCCCGGCGACGTTGCCGAGAATGCTACTGGTACTGACCCGGAGGATGCTGACCAAGAGCTTGACGAGATCGCCCCTGGGAATCAAGAAATGAATCCAGTGAAAGACGCTGACCCGCCAGTTGCTGAGACTACCCCACGTATAGCACAGGAGCAGGCGAAAGACGCCGAAAGGAAAAAGGAGAGGAAGCGTCCTCGCGATAAGATCCTTCGAGACAAACAGATGAGCAAGACAGTCTTGGACATCCGCAAAAAGGGTGCTTTTCTGGGGTATACATACCGGCGACCCAACAACGTTGCTTTGGCTTTCAGCACATCGCGAGGACGTCAACCGTATGCCCGAGGTCAATTGGCCGGCTTGTATACATCGTGACTACACAGACCAAAGTCGTGGACTCACAAGTTGATGCCCTACTCGATTTGGAACAGACTTGTTGGCTATTGTTACATTTCCATTCACTCCATAAGCCATCGTCCTTACGGTGGGTCAGACATATCCACATAACTCTCTTTTCATTTTGTATAGCACCTCATTCCCTCATAGGTGACCGCTCACCCTCCTTGGGACCACGGTCTTCACTACACTCTCCCTCTTATGTATCTTTAGGAATGAATATATTATCATGGACAGATGTTAGCCTACGGTGTCCAAAAAGCCTCGTTAGCAGATTGAATACATCCTATTTCCTATGATACTTCATCAAAGATGAATGAAGTGAAACGCCCAAAAGGAAAAGCAATAACGGGGGAAAATTCATACAAACAGCAGGAATCAAGTGCCTATGTATGGTCTCAAATCACATCTGATGGGCAGGAAACCGGGGTATCGGAGGACAAATTCAGGACAGAGAAGCTTTTAGGGGGTATCAAGTTCGGAGCAGATGAATATAAGAGGGAAATCATTAAGGAGAAACGTGCATAGGTGGCGAAGAACATGCGAACTGAGTTCACAGAACCGGCGCGCTCATGGAGAAAGCTGAATCCGTGACACGATCCTCGGGCTTCATAGTACCATTGAGCAAAGGACAGAGCTTCTTGTTTGTTTTGATGTGCCCGACCTGACCACAGTTGGCACACTTGCGTTGAGTACCAGCAGGCTTGCCGTCCGGATCGCCAGAGCGAGGTATGCCCTTTTGTTTCTCGCGGGCGAAACGACGCTCCTTGTTGCGGTTGAGACGGCCGAGCTCGGCCTCGATCAACTTCCTGTTGCGGGCGTCCACTTCTGGATCGCCTGTAGGCTGGAGAGATTCCAGCTTTGTGTGCATGGCTTCGTTATGGTGACGGTGTTGGATGTAGTGCCTGATCACTCGAGGATCGAACACATGTTGTTCCTGCTCCACGATTTCGCCGTTGTCCAGCTTGACCTGGCGGGTGATGCGCAACACTTTGCCGCGCTGGCTGTTGAAGCTCATTTTGCTGAACTGACTTGTTGTCTCATCGTCACGACGATATGGCCCAGGTGTTGGTGCTTCAGATCGAGGTGTTGGTTTGTTGAACTGGTATTCCTCTTCTTGGTCCACGTCGCTTTCCTGGTCGGAATGCTCAATGGTGGAGGACAAGCTGCTTTTTTGAGCGTCCCAGATCCGACGAATGGATGTTTCGTATGATCTTTGCTGGCGGGCAACATTGTAGCTGTGGCCTCCAAGCTCCTTAAGTCGCTGCGCGTCCAGCTTATCTTCAACACTTTCGCCGATAGCCTTGAACCCACCCTTCATGCTTGTTTTGATGAAGTTATAGCCCTCGCCACGGCCGGTGGGATCTCCTTCGCCATGAAGTTTCAGCATAGCCTTACCTTGGGAGGCCAACAAGAAGTTACGAGTTGCCTTCCAAGGAGCCATCTGCTGCTCGAAGCTCTCAAATTCTTCATCTTCTTCGTTTTCACCGCCAGTCTCGGCATCGTTGCCATAACCGGTGTCATGGAGATGCTGCTGTCCAATCTGCATTGATTCCAGAAGACAAACATCTTCGGGTTGGACCCATGAGCGGATTGTGTCTTGGTCTGGGAGGACTGGATCCAATGGCTTCCAATATTTAGTATCTTTGTCGTGTTGAAGGAAATCCTTGACCTTCTGTCGGTTCTGCATATCTGTGGTGTTGGGTATGTGAGCTGTAACATCGCTGATCGCGAGTCGCTCATCCGGGCTCTTCTTCAATAAACGGTACACCAGCATCTTCATGCGATTCTTGGCGACAGTTGTCACCTTGCGTGAATGCGGTCCGGGGATGTCGACCGATGGGAATTGCTGTCCCGCGACGTAGAAATTCTCTATATTGCGCAGGAAATAGTCACTGCCACCGACTCCAGTGGTGCTGCGGACCACGAGGAAGTCCGTTGACTTGGGTTGATGCGGGAATAGCGGTGCTCGGTACATGGAGTTTGAGATTGCGGGGGAAATTTCGCCAGGGTCAACATGGCCAAAGATTGAGTAGGGACTCTTATCCTGGGGTAAGAGAACAACTGTTTCGCCAATATCTGCCCTTGGGCGAGTGGGATCATCAATGTTCTTTCGTCGGTAATAATTGATGAAACGGTTGCACATTCCAAAGTTGGCTAGCGTCATGGGCTGCTCCTCGGAGTACTCTACCAGTAGGACATTGGAGTTATCTCCCATGGACAATGACTTTGTGGAATCATAGACAGTTTTCGCATCTTTGCCACGTAAGTGCTTCCGTCTAAGCTGAACCGGGTTCTTGAACCAAGCGGTTTGCCCAGGCCGGAAGGCCATAGCAGGTCGGTGGAAAGATCTAGCTTCAGCCTTGGCCAACTCAGTCTTGTAGTAGGGCCACTGCAAACGCAGGGCTGGCAAAGCGTGCTCGAGTGTGACGTTGCCAAGAGTACTGCGGATCTTGTTCTGATGATTCTGCTTGAGCATGTCGTATGCTTGATCATTCGAAATGTTATATCGCTGGGTGAGACGGCGCGTCAGATTGAGGTCTACTTCATCCCTAGTGCGAGGAGCGGCGTGCTTCGGCTTGTTTGCAACGGCATCCGCTCTTAATTCGTCGACAAGAATGTTCGGATCATTGAGGTCAATTGTGACTCTTTTTGCGATTTTCATTGTCGCTTGTTCCGGGTCATCCAATAGTGGGATATCAATATGCGACAGAGCAATAACATCCATCGGAGTTGGGCCGGTCTTTCGTTTCTTGTTCGGACTCTCGGTTTCCATGAGCCAATCTGCTTCATCCTCATCAAAGTTACCATCTTTTCTTTGTGACAATGCCATCTCTTCTGGGTCAGTGCTGGAGACATCATCCTTAACATCCCAGTCCACACAAATCGTTCGAAGATCTTGCATGGTGAAGCCACCCGGTAGCACTTCATCTCCGTCCACATCATCCAGGTCAATGTCTTCCTTTGTATCCTCCTCCGCCTCTTCCCCATCCTCTTCGCGGTCTGACTGTGTGATCATCACCAAGCCAAGAGTTTCATGATCAAGGCCACGCTTCAGGGGTTGGCCGGTTCGGAATGTACGCTCATGATCAGCCGCCAGCTCGATATTCACTTTCGTCGGCAAAACAGGCTTAGGCGGCTTGGTCGGCTGTTTTCCAATAAATATGGCCTTCTTGTGGGGAATCAACTCGAGCCAACGTGGAAGAGTGTTGCGGTCGAACGAGGGAAACAGGGAATGCAAAAGCTCTTCGTGGTTCTCAGGCGGCGCAGGTGGGTTTTCAACGCCTGACATGGCGAACAACTGCTGCTGAAGTTTCCAGGCGCGGAGTTCAACAGGATTCATGTCTTCCGACAAGATACTGTCATCATCCGGGAATTCATCTTCCTCCATCATAGGTGGCTCTGGCTGAGGTTCCGGGACTGGCGGGATTGGTGGTAGGTCAACGGGCGCATCTTTTAAGGGCATTTCTTCGTCTTCGAAAAGGCCACGGGTAGAATCATCCTGTCCAGCAGGAGGCGGCGAAAAAGAACCTTCGCCAAAGAGGTCATCGAGATTGTCATCCTGTGCTTGTGCCCCCTCTCCCTGATCACCAAAGAGATCGTCGCCGTTTCCGAAAAGAGCGGCTTCGTCTGAGCCCAGGTTCGCGAAAGGATCTTGATTGTCGTCCACTGCAGGCAAGGCTGGGGCTGGGCGTCCGATTTCCTCTTCCTCCGGAAGTTCATCGTCGTCAAAATCTTCGTAGTCGATCGCATCGTCGGCTTTTTCACCAACTTCCAGATCACGCGACAAGAAATCTAGAGAGGGGCCGTTATCTTCGTAGTTGTTCAGTTGTCGCATCACATCGTCGAAATCGGTATCTTCGCCCTCCGGGGCCTTCGGTGTTGCGTGAGGCATGCTGGGCAAGTACGCTTGTGTTTAAGATGAGAAGAGTGTTGTAAATGAAGAAAGCGTTAGATCCAACAAGTTGGTGAGAGAAATCGTAGGCTAAGAATGTAGGCGCGAGCCAGGCAAGGCGACGACACGATTCAGAGTATGCACATCTGGGTATTATGCGAGTCTGCGGTTTTGACTTGGCTTTCACCGTGGCTCTGGTCGCGCAGGAGAGAGGAGAAGAGGAGGGGCGTGTCGGACAGGTGGTCGAAGAGAGAAAACGGGTTTCCAGGATAATGCGCAAGGGACGGGACACGCTAACCCGATAAAGTAATCAGCTCGATGCCTGAAGTTCCATACTTGAGGGTTCAATAACTAGGATCTTTTCAAAAAAGATAATGAAAAACAATAGAGAAAATAATACATGTTAGAAGTAAAAATACATTTGAAATTATTGTCCGATGAATAGCAAGCATAAGTCATGACACATTGAAATCCCCATAGAAAATACACAATGCCTTGCTTGCACCCTCCATGCAATAGTGCATTACTGTAGCCTTCTCACCCTCAGGAACCAGCTTTGCAATCTGTTTCAGATCAGAGGTCCTTGGGATGTAAAGTACCATGTGCTTGCTGAATACTGAGTATTCATCATACAATCTTTGGAGGGAGTATGGCTCCATGGTCTTCAGGTTGAATACCTGATCTGAACGATATCCTGGGCCTGTTACAATTAGTTCATGTCACGGAAGCATAGATCTGGTGACACTTACCTCCCCACGGTGGGCTTGCAAAAACGACACTGTACGGTGCCAATTCTTTAAGTTGATTTTTAAGAATCTCGAAACAATCGCCTTCGAACCAAGTGATCTTGTCCTCCACTCCATAGATTTTCGCGTTATGCTTTGCGCACTTGAGGACAGCGGGATTTTTTTCAATCGCGTAGATCCGCTTCCATTTTCCTGTCAAGGCAAATGCGATGGTGTTTCCGCCTGCGCCAGCGAAGGCATCCACGAGAATACTGCGCCCAGCGGGCGCTGACTTGGCAATCTGTGAAGCTATTTCGCTAAATAAATGTTAGTAGAAAGTCCGATGTAATATATAAGAG